TTTTTTTGCGGTACTGGGGATTGAACTCAGGCCCTTGCGTTTGCCAGGCAAGCATTTAATCTACTGAGTTATCTCCCCAGCCCAAAGCAAATTATTGATAATATAAACTAATAAGGAATACGTAAATTGCCTTTATCTATGGAACTGATAATATATTTTTTTCATAGTCAACTGAAGGGTGATTGACATTTAAATACAAAGGCTGTTTAACATTTACACACAAGTTTCTCCACGTGTTTGTCTGGATTCATGGTCTCGCTCTTACCAGCATTTCTCCTGCAGCTGCATTTTATGCATGGCGAGATGCTCAAGCACGTTCTTCAGCTGAGGGCTGCTGCTCTGAACACAAAACCAAGCAGCAACGCAGTGCCAGAGCAGGGGGCTCACTTCATGTCCTCCATGATTACTCTGCAAATGTGCCTGGAATTCGGATTAAAATTATTATCTGGGAAAGAGTTCTTTGACTGAAACAAACATGAAAACAAATTTTAAATGCACATTCTGCTACGCTTCATGTTTCAGTAAGGAGAATAATTACACTGGCATATTTTTGTAAGTATATATAATTAACCTGAACCCAATGTATATATTTTCACACAGTACTTTCAGTGATACGAATTTTATAATCAGACAAAAATCCTCCATTTTCTAAGGGACAACTAGATATATTTGTTTTAAACACTATGTGACTTTATTCTCCCTGATACTAGGAGAAAGGTAAACAGGAGAAATATGAACAAAGATCTAACAAACTAGATTTTAAAATGTGAGTTTCTACTTCTAAGGAACAGAAGACTTGCTTTACAGGACATGATTAACATCTGATAAGTATTTTAAGGTCTGTTAAAAGCTACAAACTCAGGTAACAAATAAGCTGTTGCTTATTTTTTCTCACAGTTCTTCCTGACAGTTTTATAGATTTCATTGTCCTCCCAAAGTCTTTGAGATCCAACAGTGACGTGGTACTCTCCTTGAGGCCTTGCCAACTTGAAGACACAAATATGAATTCTGCTTTATGTGACTAAACTGTTAACCTACCTGATATTTTTTCCTGTTAAAAAACTCATAGACTATGAAGGACTCCCAAGATTTTATGGTATAAAATAACACCACAGTGTCAAAGAAAAGATAACACTGATGTTGATCTCCTTCAACTAGAAGAAAAGAAATGCACACCTAAACCCAAACAAAGTCGTGTCAACTTTCTAGTGAACTGTTAGGTGAATGCCACAGATGTATATTAATTCACTTTATGTCAGGAACTCAGGGAGACACTGGAGGTAAAAGCCTAACAGAGACAACGTCCTCACAAGCCTACTGGCTCTGGAGAACAATACTACTAAAAGGAAAATGAAAACAAGTCTTTGGAATGTTAAGCTATTCCACAACAAAGCTCTACTGTAAAATTATGTGAGGCACAGACTGAGACATGCTGACTTCAGTAGATGTACACATAACTCTATTTTCTGCTTTATGGTAAAGCCCATCCAAATAGCAGAAGCCATGTAACTGAAATTCTCTTCTCAGACTCCTGTCAGTATCTCATCCTGGATGCCTGACAGTGGCAAACTTATTCTGAAAAAATAGGTGAGTAGATCTATGTTTGAAACTTCACATTGGCTTGTCTAATTTATTCAAAACAATTTTTTTTAAAAAAAATCACATATAGTGCATGACTACATAGACTTCTTAAAAGTCAGGTGAAAAATTGTTCTGCTAACACACTTATGTTCCATCACCAGAGATAATTCCTGGAAGCATCTGATAAAGAAAAGATAAGGACTGAGACAATGAACAAGATTTACATCTTATTTTCAGTTTCATATGATGCTATTTTTCCTCATCATTGAGAAAGAGAAAAAGCAGCTTTTGACATCTGGGATTGATTCGACATTATGTTATTACAGTCTGCTCTGGCACTCACAGTCAGCTCATTTTGATCCCTTGTTAGACAAAAACTTACAAAATACCACCACAAGCCAGACACAGTGACGCGTGCCTGTAATCCTAGTACCAGGGAGGCTGAGGGAGAAAGATCACTTTCAAGGGTGAGGCCAGCATGAGACGTGGAGAGTTCAAGGTCAGCTTGGAACACAAAGTGAGACTCAACAATAAAGTAACTGTTCCTTCTCTTTAAAAAAAAAGAAAGCAATAGAAATTAGTAGTACATTTATCTTAGCTATTTTATATATATATATATATATATATATATATATATATTTTCCACTTCTTCCTTTTCTCCTTCCTTCATCCCAGTTGTTCTTTCTTATTGAGGGCTTTCTCTCCCTTTCACAATATGCACTGTACATTACGGATTTTATATACTCTTTCAGTTTCTTACGCTGGGGGGAGACAATACCATGTTTACACATGCAGGTCTGATTTATTTCACAGATGAGTATGAATTACTAATCTCTGTTGGTTTATTGAAAGTAAGGTTAATATTTAAACTTTTGACCAATTTTGCATGTTTATATCTGGTCATCTGAAAAACTACTTGCAAGACAACAATATGAAATGTAACAACCATTGTTGAATTCCAATCATCTTGATTTTTAAAATTCTGTATTGTTTCTAATTTTTTAAATTATTTTATTATCTTTAAAATAAAATTAAATAAATTAAATTAAAACCCACCTCAAATACTATTACTGAAACCATGATAAGTACACAAAGTCATTTGACAATATTTTCCTTAAGCAGACACAAAAATAAACTCAGTATCCCACATAATAATCACAGAATTGCCCCAATAACGTAGAACCCAGAAGGAAACCCTGCTTCTGTGGCTTCCCCGAGCTCAGATCCTATCACATCTGATGCACTCCAAGTCTCCTTGCTAAGACATCTCATGGTTTTCTATGCTAACCCCATTGCCCAGCCTCCAAGAAATAAATAAAACCAAGTTGCCTCATGCAGAAGTACTCCTGTTGACTTCTGGCTTAAGGACATTAGTGTCACCAAAAGCAACTTTTCCAAAATTAATTGAATTTCTATAATCACTATTGTCATAAAATTTAATAAAATACAATGATTACCAGCCTAGTACGGCAACAAGAAGCAATGGTTTGAGAGCAAGTGGTTTACTTCTTTGCCTTTCCACTAACTCAGTACTACTAAGATGTGGTTGCAGATAAGTATCATCTGCTACTGCTTAAAGGAGTACAGAAATTAAGGCTCTATGTGTAGCAATTTTTATAACAATTTGACAGCAAACCTATATACATATTCAGTCTGATAAAAATTAAAATATATTTATAAGCACTGAACACAGCATTAAATAATTCTAATAGAACATTTTCCCTCTTTCTCCTTCCTTCTCTTCCTTCTTTTCTTTTTGTTTCTGTTTTTTTTTTTTTTTTTTTTTTTTTTTGGCTTGTCTTTTAACCATCACTTTCTGTACTGCTTTCATTTTCTCTCTTGTGGTGGGCTTCTGGCTGCAGTGGTATACCTTGGACTTGGCAAAGCCCACCTACACAAGGGTTGCTAGTCTGCTATATGAAAGTTCTGACAAGTTTTATCAATTCAAGATAAAACCATCTTGAATTTTATTAAAATTTAGGTGAATCAATTCTGAATGATTGACTTGATTCTCTTTAATAAGAGAAACAAGTTTTGAAACATACACTCTATTTTGGCTGTTCACATTCAGGTCTCTGAATTTTATGCCACTTTTTGTCATTTGGGGGCTATTTGACATTGTACGTGAATACAATGTCATGAAAACAAACATGTTTCCTGGATAATGGGCTATGAATCACAGGATAGTGCTGCTAATGTTAAAGAATTTATAATCCAATTTACAGTACACACTTACAATTACGGTATAACACAAAATATCCCAAACTTAGATAGTGCTTTTGGACTCCTAAAGTGTCTCAGAGTGAGACTGTTAATCATATTACAATATAAACTGTTTCTGCTAGTTTTCTGGAAACAATTTGTGCTTCAGAACAGATGAAACTAGGTAGTAAGGGACACAATATGTTTTAGCTCGGTTTAAAGCTACCTCTCTAAAAAACTATGTTGCCATTATCATGTGACAACTATGCTTAGAAAAGCCAGCTTTAGTACTGAGCAAAAGACAGAGTGTAAACTCAATCCAGTGTTCTGGCTCTGCAGGCCACAAGCTCACTAAAGTGTACTATTTGTCAAAGTCAATGAAATTCCTGTTTTTTAATAATTAAAAGCAAAAGCCTTCCTTATATGATAGAATTTGTGTTCTTTAGTAATTATAACCAAAAGACTCAAATTATTTTAGTAACTGACACTCATATAAATGGATCATCAGTAATGAGCTAAACATCTAGGTCTATGAAGATTTTTAAATAGATGCAGGGAAAAAAGTACTTTTCTTTATTCTATAGTTAATGTTAGAAAATGCCTGAAAGAAACACAGAAGACCTGTGAGGTCACACAAGAAACGGGATATTTCTTCAATTACTTTAGTGTTTCAGGTATGATATGTTAAAAAATATGCTTTTTAAAAACAGATTACTACTTATAATCTATAAAATAAATATACAGCCCCACCCCTGGGGTGTGCTGAGATGGCAATTGAGACTGCAAGTGGTGGCGTGCACCTGTAATTCCAGCATTTGGGACGCTGAAAGCAGGAGGAACACTATGAGTCTGATCTGTGTGGTGAGACCCTGTAGACCCTGTACTAAATACATAAATAACTAAATAAATAAACATATAAAATATTGAAAAAGTTAAAATTTCAAAGTGATCATTGTCTCCCTTTTGAAAAAATTGTGAGGAATGGAAAAATGACATTACTTCAGAGACTACAGTCTGTCTTTCAAATCACACCAGTTTATAAAGAACATGCACAGAGATATTCAACAAGGCTGACTAGAGGAGCCACACTGAGCTGAAAATCACTAAAAACATAGGTAATAGGAGGAAAGGGAGGGAAACATCCTGACACCCAAATCATTCTGAAATAAGAAATTTGTATGTGAAACACAACATAGACATGAGACTTTATAAAACAGTAATCTAGCCCCTGGGGCTGGCAGTGGATACCACCTGCACGCCAAGCAAGCTTCACTGCGCCATGAAGTCTCCAAGAAATGGAGGGCCTGCAAAAGCATGGCTAACTCAAGCCAAATGGGACAGATTTGGGATACAAGGCCCCTGGCCTCTTGTGCTTTCCCCTATATAGAGGACAGAGCAGCTTGGCAGCAAATTTTGTCAGCACTACTCCCTACCCAGAGGCCTGCCAGCTTCTCTTTTGTTATGTGCTGCAACTGAAATCCCTAACAATAACAAGGAGAGAGACCACACTGAAAGAGATCCATGACCCTTCCTGCCCTGTTATCAGTCAGATGGCCACAGAAGCTCAGATTTAAACAGCAGTGGCACTCCACCACTACCCGGTGTGAGAGAGGAGATTGAGGTGGGCCAGGCAACCT